TGAAGAAAGCTATCCATATGAAGCAAAAGATGGTCCATGTCGTTTTAAACCAGCTAATGTTGGAGCTACCGATACAGTTAGTATTTTTTTTTTCTGTGTTTTCTTTGTCTTTTTATGACTTCTATCGTATAATTTAGGGTTTTGTTGATCTTCCAACAGGAAATGAAACTGCTTTGCAAATAGCTCTTGCTACAGTTGGTCCAATGTCTGTAGCAATTGATGCTCAACATACATCATTTCAATTCTATTCATCAGGTGTTTACAATGAACCTGATTGTTCAACAACAAACTTGTGTCATTCATTTGTTTTGGTTGGTTATGATACATATCATAATAGTACAGTTAAACAAGATTATTACATTGCAAAAAATTCTTGGGGTGAATCGTGGGGTAATAAAGGTTATGTTTGGATGAGTCGTAACAAAAAAAATCAGTGTGGTATTGCGACGACGGCCAGCTATCCTCTTGTTTGACAGTGTAATCTAATTTTTAATAAAACTTAAGCTTCTGCTATATACTATACTATTAGTGTTTACTAATAAATATATTTAGCAAAAAAGCTTGCAACAACCATATAATTGCCATTTGAAGCTGTTGGTAAGTTGGTTTACACTAAAAAAAACCTGAAAAAATACGAATTTTCGAATCACAAAAAGGTTAAAAGTCTGTGATGTCACATGCTAAGTATATTAGTGAATTGATTCAAAATAATAAGCGTATGGTACGCATGTGATAGTATTCAATAAACATGAATATATCAGACAATTAATTATGAATGGCATTTTATCTATATTTTACTTTACAAAAACGAAGTAAAATATCCAATATAACTTCACTCAATAAAATAGAATAATATTACATAATGTAGAATACGATAGTCTAAATATGAAAAGCAAAGTGATATAAAGTGAGAAAAACAGTATTTTTCATTTTAATGATAAAAATCGATCATTTTCAACTTTATTATTAACTTATTTCATGATGACAAGATGGTTAAAAAACGTTAATATATTTTAGCGTTATCAATGCATGTTACTCAACTGTGACATTAGCAAGAAATTTCAACGATATTATATTAGTTTACATTGTAGATAAAGTATGCTTACTTTTCGTTACTCACTAAAATTAATTATTCTCACTTGACTCTATTTTGTAAAGTTAAGATAAAGTGTCACTCACAACATCAACAAACAGCATTTTTTCCCTTCTATTTGTAATCTGTTTGGACACTCTATTCAATTTTTGTTCAATTACATCGTCAATATTTCATTGAGTGTGAGCGTATGGATTTGTGTTTAAAATAAATAATTCCAAGCAGCTTACGACTACCGTTTTAATATTGCTTAGGGATCATCATCAAATAAATTTGGACTTCTAATATACTCTGCATATCGATTTTATAGTATCATATCAAATCATATCAGTAGCTTATGAAAGTTCAAAGAAGAGCTTCCAACTTCGATATTTTTTGAAAAGTCGAGAATTAAGAATATAAGAATCAACAATCTATCCATGATGTCAAAATAGATATTAACATAAAAATTAAAATCGAACAGATTATTACATTCAAGTCATTCAAATGTTATTTTTATTACAACTTACTAAATATTATATCATGAACCACTTGATGAATTTTTGCGAAGACAAAAACAGCCGTTGTCATGATACGGCCAAATTATAATCACTATTGATTCAGTTTGAAATAAGACAAAGATTAGTATGTAAAATATGGTGGAATTCCAAATTTATCTGATCATAACACTTACGATAAATCGCAGCGATCGCCGTAAGTAACTTGGAATTATTTCATTTTAATTATATTCATACTCTTCAGTACATGTACTAAAATTTATTCTAGAAGAAATGAACTCTTTTTAATGGTCCTACAATAAAAAGCGTTCTTTTTTTTTATTTGAAAAACCATAGTTCGACATCGATGTCGTGAAAAAATTTGAAACCTTGTACTTCGATCACTATGATGAAGACTTACTTGGCGTGAAAGCTTTAGTCTGAAAATCACATCATTTTATCGTATTTACCTACTCAGAGGAATTCTCCATTAAACACCTCAAAATGCTTCATCATGAGTAAACAAAAGAAGAAGGATATAATCTCCGTTTGCAGCGATCGATCATCATGCTGTTGAGTGATTGGTTTTGTATAGTGCTGTAATACGTGAAATAAACGAAGTTTTTTGTGTTTTCCATCCAATTTGAATAAGATCAGTATATTGGGTTAAATTATTTCAAGCCTCGCATTATAAGTTGAAATTTTTGTCTTTTTTTCTTCAGAGCAATAGTTTCGATGTGATATATTGTACTGAATCAAATATTAAGTTTTTTGACAAAAATTTGAAGACTTAAAAATGAAAACTGACTGACATGTCAACGAAAAAATGCAACAATTATTCATTGGAGATAGTTTAATAATATTCTTTTATTAGGAAAAAGTATCAATATGATATTTATTCAAAAAAAGCAACATTAGCTCATTTTTGTCTCAAAATAAAAATAGTCAATCCCAAATAAGTTTCTCGCACTACTAAATATTTGTTTTCATAATATGTGCCACACCACTCTGCTTTGTCTGTTTCGCTAACAATTACACTCCAAGCTGCTCCATATGTTGCATCAAGCCAGTTGCTAACATCCTTAGCGATTTTGAACTTTTCCGATTGCCCGTGTGTATCAATCGCAGTGCCAATTGTGTTCAATATATTTGTTCTCATCACATCTGTGATTCCACTGTCTTGTGTTCGAATTTCCCATCGTGTCATTGTAGTTGATTTCAAAAAATCGAAATCACAAAGATTAATTTTCTTTTCTGAAAGAAAGACTAATCGATGAGAGAATGATTATAAAATTTTCTGTTCAACCACTTAAATACCAGAACTATGAGTAGTATCAAAATTGAACTTTGAATTCGTTTTCAGTTTTAAGATTCAAGTTTCAAGTTTGACACATTTTATAATTTCGTTAGCTGGCAGATTTCGACTCCTATCTATAATGTGAATTCTTTTTTTGATAATCTGTTGATTCTCAAACTATTTGCAAGGAATACAAATGATCTTAATATTCGTTAGTTTTTCAATCGATCTTTACCATTGAAACAAGTATGTGCACGATCAAAATGAAAATAAAAGTTCCTCAGAACGCTTTGATGAGCTTTCTTTCAAGAAAACGAGTTATTAACGTCGTATAAGGCTAATAGAACTTATGTTTGATTGTTCTATATTCGACTTGTAGAAGAAATACTGATCGAGACTGAATTGAAAATTTTTGAAAAACACATTTCAGGCTAGAAGTTTCAATAAAACTTTAAACTCAATTTTTTTTTGAATTTCACCTTCAGATAGTAGAACAGAACTATAAACCAAGACTTATCTTGAAACAAAACAAAATTAACAAGTGTTTATCTTAGAGTATTTCATTTAAAAAACAAGTACATTAGATTTGCAAAAGTTTACTCTCATAGCAGAACTTTCTTGAAATAATTATAATGTCAAAAGTGTGTTTCAAAAGATGATTATGTGATCTAGTTAGTCTCTATGTTATCAAACAAATATATAATAGAAGTTTAACATGAATCATTATTACATTTGACCTACGAATAACAGCGAAAATGAAACAGAAAGATCCATTTTTATCCTTCACTTTTGTAATCAATTGCTGCTTAAAGAACGAGAGCGAATATATTGTATCATGACTACGTGTTTCTATTCCCGAGGAAAACAATGAAAATCCATCATCAGTATAGTAGATTATGATCGTATAGTATTTTTAGCTCTTGAATTACTGTTTGCATTCGCATATTACTTCTTCTATTCTAAAACAAATATTAACAAAAAAGAAGAAAAACTGTATTGACAAAAAAAGCACGTCAAGTATATGTTCAAAAGCATCTCGTCTCCAGCACATATAGTATCACAATGATGATGTTTTTTCTTAATCAAGAGGAATGAATCGAAAAAGAAAAGAAGCGAAAAGCAAAAAACGAAACAAGAGCCAAAGTATATAATGTATGGCATAAGAGCAGACAAGAAAGAACAAGTTATCTAACTAAAGATGTATTATGGCTGATAGACATGATACATCGATAAGTCAGCATACGAAATCTGAATAATACCAAATGCTTCTATCAGTCTAAGTGATAAATTTGCGAAGAATTTCATTCGAACAAGTGAATCGAATTCTTTCATTTTCGAGACGTCAAAAGTGATTTCTAATAATTATCAGTTATCTTTGACATTATTCACTGATTTGCGTCTTCTGCAAGTGTAGATAATATTTTAAAGAAAAACGAAGCACTTTTCGTAGTTCTAATTTAACGTGCAGATAGACAATTGAGGTTTTGTGTTTGCTGAAAAAAAACTGAACTCAAGAATCAATCGATATCGAACTTGTCATGCAAGACTATTGAATAAAGGATGTAAAATTTCTGGTGTTGGTTTTGCATGTATCCACAACGAATCAATATCTGGTCATAAATCTTGTAAACCTCATGACCAGATACCTCTAATAATGAAAAATAGTCATTATTCAATGGTAAATAACCGCATGGACTTGATGTTAGATGGCGTTTAGTTTCTGTCAAAACAGAGTCAAAGATAAACTGACCTTTACAAACTAAAAACATTTTTTTACCAGAATCAGTTGTGATTTCATGTATTAAGTTTGGACCTATGTTAACATATGAGAATGGTGCAATATGACCTTTAATTGAATGTGTCTTAGTTAAGTCTTTTGTCAAACGTTTAATAACTGCTGCTGTTAATACAGAAAAAATTTTAGCACCAGAAAGTACATAAATAATTTTGTTCGTAGTTTAAGTATATAAAATTGAGCGATATGTTTAACAAATTTTGATTTATTACTTAAATCATGATAATTAATCGATGTTGCCAAACATGCTTTTACAATACGATATAGATCATTGTCAATTTTCTATTTCTAAGTCATTTCGATCAAAGTATAACGCTAACAATGTTGCTAGTTTGCTATTCAATTCTTTACAAAACCTTGAGCACGTTTGCTTGATCTACTTGCACTGAGTAATGCAATAAATGATTGATTGGAAGGTAATGATGATAGCCGACTACTAAATATATCATAACTATCAATAACTAAATTTTTCATCTCGAATAAGATCAATATTCTTCTCTAAAACATAACACCAGCATTAAAATATTAAACATGTGACCATCTCAATTCTTCTTATTTTTTCTTATTATAAATGTAGTCGACGACATGGAGAACGTAAACAGAAAAAAAAATTCATTTGTTTTTTCTCGTTGCTCTAGATGCCATATATTTACGTGCAAAGCATTAAAGACAAACTAACTGCTTGTCAAAGAAAGAGCACGAAAGTGACCTTCTCGCAGTAACTATTTATCACTAACTCGGTAGTTTATTTGGCTAAAATGAGACATAGACAAAGACAGATTTTTAAGCGACAGCACAAGAAAAACTAGAAGGCAATTCTATTAAGCACATTTACATTTGACACCTATAATTACACTATATGTTAACTATATTTTTTTTGCGAAATTCATAATAATCATGTGGAAGCTACAGATTTCGCCCACGCCCAGTATCGAAGTGCATGTTCGTTGTCCTTCCATAATTGATTCATGAAAAGCTTGAAACAGACTCAGATATTGTGATTGCAAACTTTATAATTTTTGATAGTTTTTCGGTCGACTCCTTGCAACTTTACTATCAAAACAAATCAATTTTTTTATTTACTCAATAATACTGAAAGGTAGAACATCTGTAGACGAAAAGTTATAAAGCTAATGAAAAACACGCATGTGAGAGTCTCAATATCACCCCATTCATATTTTAATTGTTCATGACCGAAAGTTGAGTTTAATGAACAATAAAATCAGTATTGGTAAAATAATACCGGTCAAAGAAGCAGTACAACTTGATGTTCGATTACAATAATCTTTATTGGAACAACAATAACGGACGCTACCACCAACACTACTTCCAGGCGTACATGTTCGACCACCAGCCATCCTTTCTATATAGTTTGGATAGACCACTTTCTAGTGAATACAAAAAATGAAAATATACTATTCAATGTAGAAGTCAGTACGCACTAAACAATAGGTATTGCCTGGAACTGGAAGATCGCCTGATGTAGTTTCATCATACGGATCATTGCATCCTGAGTTACTCCAACCAGTACAAGATACACAATTTATTCCATGTGTGATCGGAATCAAGGCTAAATTGAAATTTTTATATCTTTGTGTATTGAAAATATTCTTACCAAATAGACAGAGAGACAATAAAATTAAAAAATTCATTTTTATTTCTATTGATGATGCTTGCTGAATTACTCGGTCGCGTGCTACGAATAAATAATTGAAAGATGAAAGAATCAAATTTCATTCTTATTTATTTAAGATTTATATGTAAATTATAAGACTTTATTTATTCTTAATTTTTCTTTCATGATTGTTCTACTCTTCGACTATATACAAAAAACAATATCTTTTATAATTTTCTCCTGAGTTACAAAAGTAAAAGATATCTTGACTACGTAGATATAGTAGAACAAAACAATCTACTATGCTACTTTTTAAAGTTTAATATTATTGAAAATAGCATCATATAGCATTCATGATCTCATTGTCTGAACAAGACAATGCACAATAATGCTACATAGCGTACATTTACTCAAGATCAATAATAAAGTATGCCAAGTGGAAAATATATGATAGTTTTAAAAGAATAATGTCTATAAGCGCTTTTAGACTTTATTACTTAGTAAAAGTGAAAGAATTCGAAGCATTCAACAATCTATGGTTAATGCTTAGTGCTATTTCAATAAAATTCATCTGTAGACATTCAAAATTGACTCTAACATTCTTAAATTATAGATTGTATTGTGACAGTGAAACATTTCAGTTCCAATTCAAAATCTCTGGAGTATTATATTACTTGTATTACTTTTCGACTAATCTACATATATAATTTATAAATGATAGAGAGGGTATGAGTTTGGGTTGGTTGAACAAAAGGTACCGAACCATAGCCGCATCTTATATCCACCCTCATATTGGGTCGCTAATCAAATCGACAATAAAAACATATAGAAATGAGTCAGAATTTCTAGCGATAATTCAGTAACATTTCGTGATACATCATGGCAATTGTGCAACATTATTACAAATCACCAGACATATATTTGATAGAGATACTTTGATCACAAGTAAATCAATGCTAGTCAGACTAAATAAGATGACTTGCTAACGATTACTGTTTGTACGATAATTTTGAATCGGAAACTTTATTTCGTATATTCTTTAAATCATCATGGAGTTTCATTTTGACTATCTTATCATTACATTTCATCCTCATTAAATTTTGCATTGTCAACAAATGAATTTCTCAAAAAATATAAGTTTTCCTTACATATTGTGTAAAACATAGATATTTTGAAAATTCACACGTTGACAATGCAATAGGCGAAACGGATGAAATTTACTATATGAGATCGTCTCAGAGAGGCTTTCATATATACAAAGCTGCAGATTGCAATTCAAAACTACGTTTTTTTTCGAAAGCTACTCGTTCAGAATGAGATCGGTAAAAAGCTATTTATTTTGAATACATATGGAAAAGAGTCGGAATCTTTTGAGATTATGCTATTTTCATAATTTTTCTACGTATGAGCGCAGTATGGCAACAATATGAGCAGATCATTTACGAATATTTCCTCGTTGAAATCTAGTGCTTCTATATGTAACTGTAACCACTCTCCACCACTTCCAATAATTGCGATCTAAGAGCCTAAAAATGCTTAAATACCTGATTGCAAGTGATCTTCAGCTGCTTAGAACGTACACTTTCCAACGAGAAACATAATCTATATTAGGCGATCTTTTTTTGCTTAAATTTTCAAATGGATATGCATTTGGTTGCTGGGGAAGATTGGGTCGATCATTAATTACATAGTCCACATGGTTCTGTAGTGATTGACGTGCGATTCCTTTCCAGCAAACGAATGACTATGAGTCATGAAAGATTTTCAGAATGGGTTTATATGTTGACGTGGCTCATGTGAAAGTTTTAGCAAGTTTTTGGGCGATTCAGATCATTGTCGGAGAAAGAATGTAGTGGGTACCGATTGAAGTATAATTCACGTCATCACAAAGGACAGAGCTCGCAAAAAAGCTTATATTCTGGGTTTAGTTTTTGTGAAGATAAGTATTAGTTTGTTCTGTTGATATTTGCTGCATTCGAAGTATTGGTCGAGACGTAAGTCACTGCGACTGATATGTGTTGAATTTCTATGTTTCAAGACTTCCGGTGAAAACCAGTGGCAAATAGTTTCTTTAAGCGAAGACCAAAGCTGTCGTGTCGCTCGTCCGTCTATGTACGTCCTCTGTCGGGTGTGTGGATTGGCAGGCAAAAGACATGAAATTAAATCGATCCTATAGTCATGGTGAGGGATTATTTTGTGGTAGTTTTACATTGGTCAATTTTTCTATAAATATTAAAGCTTATTTTTCTTTTCTGCCATTATTTATTCAAACTAAAAAACAGTCACAAACAGAACTCAATATTCAACTGAGGCACACCATGGGTGGAAAAACTTCTAAGAAAAACAATATATCGTCTGGGGACACTGTTGCAACTACAAAGGCATCATCAAATACCACTCAACCAAGAAGAAGCATGATTCAAAATTATTTGCTCATCTGGGTTGATGGCTGTATTGATGAAAACAATAATGATTGTCAAAATACATTGGCACAATTGCGCACTGTCGTAAACGAGGTAACAATCTGTACTGAACCGGCACAATGTATCAAATTTCTCAATGATATGGATGACGAGAAAGCTTTCATCATCTCTTCTGGAGCTTTCGGTCAGTATCTTGTGCCAGACATCCATGGCATGCCACAGCTAGATGCTATTTACATCTTTTGCGGTAACAAAGAGCGACATGAACGATGGGCAAAGCAATGGTCAAAGATTCAAGGTGTGTTTACTTCAATCCTACCCATATGTGAGTCATTAAAGAAGGTCACCCGGGAATGCGATCACGATGCTATTCCGATGAGTTTCGTTCCGAAGCGGGTAGTGACAGCAGCAGCATCGGATCAACAACATCTCGACCAATTGGAACCATCCTTTATGTATTCGGTATTATTCAAAGAAATTCTATTGGAAATCGAGGAAAATGATGCTAAGTCGGTGAAAGATTTTGTCGTCTATTGCCGCAATAAAGGTATTCCTGAATCTCAATTGACGTACTTTCAAGATAAATATCACCAGAAATCGCCAATCTGGTGGTATAGTTGTGAGACTTTTTTATATGGCATGCTCAACCATGGTCTACGATCACTCAATGTGGAGGCTATGGCAAAAATGGGCTTTTTCATCCGTAATCTCCATCGGCAATTAGAACAATTGCACAAACAGCAATCAAGCACTTATACGAAACAATTTATTGTTTATCGTGGTCAGGGACTCGTCCAGCAGGACTTTGAACGTCTATTCGATTCGAAAGGTGGCCTCCTCTCTTTCAACAACTTCTTATCTACTAGTACGAAAGAACAGATAGCTATGAAATTTGTTAACCATGCACTGGAAAAATATGAGAACATTGTAGGCATTCTCTTTGTTATGACAATCGATCCAAGTAAAGTTTCCGCGTTAACTACGCCGTTCGCTCTTATCGACGCACATAGTGCTATTCCACAGGAACAAGAAATCCTCTTCTCAATGGATACTATTTTTCGTGTCAATGAAATAAAAGAGACAGTCAACAATAGCCGCCTGTGGGAAGTACAATTGACTCTCACAGACGATAGTGATTTACAACTAGCTGCTCTCACTCACCGCATGCGACAGGAGACTAAAGGAACTACTGGATGGCATCGAATGGGTAAGTTTATGCTCAAAGTGGGTCACTTGAATGAAGCCGAAGAACTTTACAATGAATTACTCATAAATTCCTCCAGTGGGATAGATAGGGCACATATCTATAACCAGCTTGGAAGCGTAAAAAACGAACAAGGAAAATATCAAGAAGCAATTTTATTTTACGAAAAGTGCCTCGAAATCATTCGAAAAACTCACTCGGAAGATCATCGGATGTTAGGTAACATCTACACCAACATCGGTCATGCATATCTGGATATGGACAACAACTCGAAAGCACTTGAGTTTTACGAAAAAGCACACAAAATAAAAGAAAAAGCTCTGCCTTCAAATCATCTCGATTTGGCTAATTCCTATAGCAACCTTGGTAAAATTAATAAACGCACCGGTGACCACTTGAAAGCACTTGAATTTTACGAAAAAGCACGGCAAATCTACGAAAAAACTCTTCTTCCCAATCATCCTACTTTGGCTACTTTCTACAGCAGCATCGGTCAAGTGTATAATGCCATGGGTGACTACTCGAAAGCATTTGAATTTTATGAAAGAGCACTTAAAATAAGAGATAAAGCTCTGCCTCCGAATCATCCCTCATTGGCTTTTTCTTACAACGACATTGGCTCCATGTTTAACAACATGGGTGACTACTCGAAAGCACTTGAGTTTTACGAAAAAGCACTTGAAATAAGAGAAAATACTTTGCTTCCGAATCATCCCAGATTGATTACTTGCTACAACAATATTGGTCTTGTGTATAAGAACATGGGTGACTATTCAAAAGCACATGAATTTTACGACAAAGCACTTAAAATAAGGGAAAAAACTCTGCCTCCAAATGATCCAGAATTGGCTCTTTCCTACTGCAGCATTGGTCAAGTGTATGGAAACATGAGTGACTACACAAAAGCACTTTCATTTCTAGAAAAAGCGCTAGCTATCCAGCAAAAATCACTTTCTCCATCACATCCTCATATTAAAGTGACGACAGATTGCATCCATAATGTAAAAAAGAAGTTGTAAATGTGTTTCCTTTTCTTGGTCTGCTCAATAAACTCTTTCTAATTGCTACTCACGTTCTCTCTGGATTTCTCGACTTTCTATCGTACATACGCGACATCCTCTCCTGCAATGGACACCGTACTTCGACCCAGTCCGATTTTTTTTCGGACCAGACTGGACCGACCAGTCCAAAATCCAGTAGTGTCAAACTTGAAACTTGAATTCAATTGAAATTTAAGTTTCAACTGAAATTTCAAGTTTCAGGTTTCAAGTTTCAAACCGACAGCGCTCCTGCGATGATGTGTGTGTGAATGTGTGTGAGTAGAGATTGATGAAACTCTTTTCGCAGCCCCCCCCCCCCCCCCCCCCCCACCAGCTGCGATGACGTATGTGTGTAAATATGTGTGAGCCGTGATTCTTCAGAGTGCTGTCTATTTGAAAATTGAAAATTGAAGGTTGAAACTTGAAGGTTGAAGCTTGAAGGTTGATACTTGAAGATTGAAACTTGAAGGTTGAAACTTGAAACTTGAAACTTGAAACCTGAAACCTGAAACTTGAAATTTGAAACCTGAAACCTGAAACTGGAAATTTGAAACCTGAAACCTGAAACTTGAAATTTGAAACCTGAAACCTGAAACTGGAAATTTGAAACCTGAACCCTGAAACTGGAAATTTCAGCGTGTGGGTGGGGTGTCGGTGTGGGTGGGTGTGCCTGTGACAGGACATATTTGAACATCCACATCCACACCCCATACCCACACCCACACACTCGCGACGCTCTTGGTAAATGGATGACATTACATAACTCGTCACATTGGTCAGATGGTTTATTACCGGTAGTTTATGGTATTAATACAAGATTATCAGTTGTTACCAAAACTACTCCATACCAAGTTATGT